ATTTGAATTAGTGGTTCACTACTAGAATTTCTCTTATTACATGCGACTTTTCCTGCGAGTTTTTCATAAAAATTTGCAGGAAACGTTGTTCTTGCAAATTTTCCTGCAAAATTTTATCTGCAGGTAATACCTTCATGGATAATATTTTTTTGCGAATTTTAAAATTCGCAAGAAATTTTCCAGCAAAATTTCTTGCGGAAAAAATTCGCAGGAAAGTTTCTTACAAAAAAAAATTCGTAGGAAAGTTTCCTGCGAATTTTTCGGAAGAAATTTTGCAGGAATATTATTTACGAAAAAAATTAAAGAAATTACTATAAATTCTATCAATAATTTTTCAACTTTCAAATGCTCACAATGAATTCGTCCGAAACATTTGTTTCCATTCCTCCAACATGTGATTTATAATCTTTTAAATTCTAAGATTGTAGATTATAAGCCTAACACAACCATATAAATCAACTTGTAAGGTAAATGTTACCCCAACTTATATACTCTTTAATTACTTTATTTTTAATCGATGTGGGGCTTGAAGTTTTTTTTAAAATATTGAACTTATAAATTTAAATATATATTTTTTATTTTTCTTGCGGATTAAAATTTGCAGGAGAATCTGCAGGAAAAGTTACTTGCAAAATTTTTCTACCATTTAGTAAACATTACTTGCGAATTTATTTTTGCAAGAAAATCTGCAAGAAACAAAATAAAATTCTTACAATACTTTCTGCAAATTTTTACCATGGAAAAAAAATCTGATTATTAAAATTGTAGCAAAATTTGTAAGAAATATTTGTAAATTATTTTTTTCTACCATTTAGTAAACATTACTTGTGAATTTATTTTTGCAAGAAAATTTGCAAGAAACAAAATAAAATTCTTACAATACTTTCTGCAAATTTTTACCATGGAAAAAAAATTCTATGATTATTAAAATTGTAGCAAAATTTGTAAGAAATATTTGTAAATTATTTTTCGCAAATAAATTCGCAAAAAATTTCTGCGAATATTTTTTTTCAGGAAAATTCACAAAATATTTTTGCAAATATTTTTTTGCAAGAAAATTCGTAAAAAATTTCTGCAAATATTTTTTTGCAGGAAAATTTGCAAGAAAATGACATTTTTCTAGTAGTGGTTGCATGTAGTTGTTCTTGTGTTTCAGAAGTTGTTTATAACGTGGTTAAGTTGCTAAGTTGCTTGATGAAGATGAGTTGAATAGTTGTTGACTTACGTTGTTTATATGTTGTGTATTTGGTGAAACTAAGTGGTTTTTATGTTGTTTACTATTGAATTATTAATAAGTTGAGATGTATAAGTTGAAGTAATTCATTTTTGTAAAGTTGATATTGTGTTAACTGTAGTTGTTTAATTAAGTAGTATAAAGATGTCTATTGCTATAAAGTTGAAAGTTGCCTATTGTTGTAAGATACCTATTGTTGTATTGCTGTAAGTTGCCTATTATTGTATTGCTATAAGTTGCCTATTGTTGTATTGCTGTAAGTTGCCTATTATTGTATTGCTGCAAGTTGCCTATGGTTATAAGATGTCTATTATTGTATTGTTGTAAGTTGCCTATTATTCTAAGATGCCTATTGTTGTATTGTTGTAAGTTGCTCATTGTTGTAAGATGCCTATTGTTGTATTGTTGTAAGTTGCCTATTGTTGTAAGATGCCTATTGTTGCATTATTGTAAAGTTGTAAAGTTGTTTATTGCCGTAAAGTTGTAAAGCTGTCTATTGTTGTAAAGCTGAAAAGTTGGGGACATATGGTGAAGATATATGTCCTATGTTGAGATACATAGTACTAAGGAGATAAGTTGAAAGTTATTTTAAAGTTGAATTCCTTAGTACTGTGTGGGCGACATGGAAGTAGTCGATCAATGTCATGGTTGAATGACCAATTTGAGTAAGGTATCTAGTTAGAGATGTAGTCTTTGACTAGGTACTGGAGGGTGCGTGGTACTTGGAGGACAGTGGGTGGGCTAACTCCATATGTGGATTGGTGATGCTAGCCAAGGCCGTGGTAGGCTCATACCCAAACCCTT